TGTCTAGTGTTGCCGGTGTAGCACACTGCTCAGGCTTTTTTTATTAAACAACTGCAAAATTTGTGTTCAGGGGGCCGCACAAGCCGGCGGGAGGGGAAGGCTTTTTTAGCCGAATCAAAAATTTTGTCATAATTGCAAAAAAATGACTGGGACATTCGTTGTTGTTATTCTTCAGAACCATAATCTTGGGCTGATATGTCGTCCGCGATCAATCCAGAGAGAGATTCATTATCGGGTTACAACGAAAGTCCTGCAACAATGCGGGCTGTTTCTCAAATCAGATATTTATTCACTAGTCAGACCATCGATGAACAATATGATCACCTTTGGAATTTCTCTCCCGAACAATTGATCAACATCATCATTAGGGACACGGGAAAATCTTTAAGGCTTCTCCTTGATTCCGCTCTTCCAAAATGTCGAAGCCTGCGATGTTGAAGTCGGCGGGTACGTTGCGGTTCTCCTCCTCACAAGGAAGGTCTTTCAGGACATGGAGCGTTTTTTCAAAATGGTTCCCTGTTTTTGTAGAGGCTCATGTGAGGAACACAGAACCATGGTCCATTTTTCCTGAACGCCCCTAGGAATGTCAAAACAGGGGGAAGAAATGGTCCAAAGTTCGATCCTCCGTGATGACAAATTTTTGCAATTTATGTTGGGGCCTCCAAATGCCGCAAAACACGACAATGACATCTATTCTCGACGATGGCGCCATTTGGCGCAATCTGGGGGCGCCAAACTATATTGCAAAAATTAGTCATCACCGGGGATCGAACTCTGGACCATTTCTTCACCACTGTTTTGACATTCCTGGAGGCGTTCAGGAAAAATGGATCATGGTTCTGTGTTCCTCGCATGAGCCCCTACAACATGCAGAAAACCATTTCGAAAAAGCGCTCCATGTCCTGAAAGACCTTCCTTGTCAGGTCAGCTCACCGAAATTAACACACCACTTATTTGCTTAAAGCATGCTTAGGCCCAATTATAGGCTTAAGGATAAGCCAATGTGTAAGCATAAGCCCAAGCCTAAGTCCGAACCCAAGCTTAACCTTAGATTTCAATGATCGCGCAACTCTCGTGACCTGACTTCAGGAGGAGAACTGAACGTCTCCCGTGTAAAGAAGGGACCCCATCATCATCATTTGGTTGGTCTTATCGGACTGTTCAAAGTCATGCGGCATCCATTACAAGCACATTCTATGGTAACCGATATCATGCAGATTCTTAGTAACTGTCGTACGGATGCCATCTCATGCTGCGTGAACTCATGGCTGCATGCTTTTGCCTGCAACTCTAAAGCGTTCAGCAAACCTCTTTGCTCAACTTCAAATGGAAGGCTTAAATCCGGATCACTTGTACTAACGGGACGCCGTGGGATAGTAAGCGACACCCTTTCTGAATGTAGCACAAATGCCAGCCGTCTCAACTCTAGCGGAGTGGCTTTGCATGATCCGTGGAAGGCAGTAGGTTGAAGGATAGCTTGATCCTGGACAGTATTTTATAACCGTAACCAAGACGGTATCACAGTTGTTCAACCTAGTGTCTCAGCCTTTGGCTTTCTCACATCCTGACAAATCAAAAAAAAAACGATGCGATTCAACCTTCCACCATTCAAACCTGAAAACCATCATTTTAAACTAAAAAATTGTGTCGTCGTCTTCAGAATTCTGAACCTGTTTTAAGCGGTGGAATAGCACTCTACCCCACTCCCTAGCTCTTCAGACCATCAGCATAGTTTCTGAGGCGTTTGGTAGGCGCGAACTCCACGATAAAGTGATTAAAGGCACGCTCCGCGATTAGGCGCGCTCGCCTGTTCCATCCCGGGGTAGTAGGCAGGCGGACAAGTGTTGATGTCGCGCCCCTTTTGCCGCTTGAAAGTGCGCGACAAAGGCGCAAGGAGCTCGTCCGACCCGCAACTCACACCTTCGTCCGCAAGCCCCACCCTCCGCTGTCGGTTGCCACGTGGCGCTGCTTGAAAAGCGCGGGAGGCAGCGGTCCCATCGCGATCC